CCAATTAAGGGTTTAATTGAATCATTGAGTGATTGTGCAACCAGCAGGTTCTTAATTGCTTGCTCTATCTACCCTACTTGCAGCTGAAGAGGAACAGACCATGTGATCCAGCAGCCTCGTCAGGCTCATCAGTGGTAGCAGCTGGAGAGAGAGAGAGGTGCAAGGTATGTCTGGAGGGGAGAAAATAGAGGAATGGACAAGGTTAAGAAGGGGCGCTGTGTTTCAAGGGCTTTGAGGTTGTGTGCTCTGTGACTGTGTCTCTGTTGCTATTTGTAGCCAGCTTACACCTAGATGAGGAAAAGATGGTACTGTGCCCAAGGCTCACTGCAAGCTGAAGAAGCCCAGGCAAATGGCAGGTGAGTAGCTGGGCGCCCATTCTGGTTATCGCTTCTCTGCCTTTTGGAATCATAGGTTTGCAGACTGTGCAACGAGAGTTACTAGAAGGTTTACTCTGTGTGCCCAGAGATTGGTTGTTCTGCATCCAGGACTTCCCTGCTCATGGTATCTACGATATCACCTTCCAAGAGCAGGAACAAGTCTCAACGGTGATGGAGCGGAAAAACCAGAAAGAAGGCGACCCCTTGTTAGAGGGCATATCCTTTATTCCTTATGTTCCTGTGGCTCGTATTCCTTTGTGTGTTCACATGTATAATTCTTTTGTGTCTGATGAGGTTATGACGTCCCTTAACCGGTATTGTTCAGTCTTGTCTAAACCCTTGAAGCTACTGAATATGTTTGGAGTATATAACGGAGTATATTGTGGTATTAAGACCTGATTTATCAGAGGTAAGTGGGCTGAAACACCACCCACAAAATTTTTCCATAGGTGGAAATAGAGGGTATTTATTCTACCCTGGTCAGCCGCGTTACTGCAGAAACGGTTTTGGTCATGTAAGAGAAGAGTGTAAAAAAAAAAGATATGTGTTGCAGAAATTGCTTTGCAGAAGGTCATACTGCTGTAGAATGTGCAGAGCGGCAGAAGTGTGACTTATGTGGAGCAAATAGTCATTTAGCGAGATTTTGCCCAGATAGGTTCAAAGAACCTACTCGTGATTTAAGTAAAGAGGTGAGCTTGTCAGATCCTACTAGTAAAACTGAAAGTGCAAAAGGTATTCCTAAAGTGCGTATTCCCTTTATTCCCACTTACGGTACTCAACCTAGGTCCAAGGAAGAGGTGGAAGCATGACATGCAGAGGATCATGCTAAACAAGCTACTGTATCTGGAGTAAAAGAAGAAATTGTTACAGAGGAAATGGAGAGTAAAGACTCTACTACAGCAGACCTTGAGGCTCCTGGTATTTCTGTGTCTGATATCTTAGAGGAGGAAGCAGTTGGTAAGACTCCTTGTGCCAAGAGGAAAAAGAGGAAAGGGGGAGAGTTAAAATTATCTAGAGACTATCCGAGGGGCTTGGGGGAGTCTTCCTCTGAGGTTGAGGATCAGGCAGGGTCAGAAACATCTGGCTCTTTCTCACCTATCTTTGACTCACAGGCGGTGTCCTGACTAGTGGATATCTTGGGGTTCTCACAGGACCTTGAGGAGATGCTGGAGTCAGTCAGTGGGACATGAAATGATGAGGTATTACACCTCTGATCCATGTTTTGTATTGCCTCACTAAATGTTGGAAGCTTGAAAAGAACTTCTAGACGTGCATTTATTTTTAATTTCTTGCAAAAGTTAACTTTTCACATTGTGTGTCTGCAGGAGTGCGGTCTGGAAGAGAAATCAAGCAATATAAAATGGAAGTGGGCACCATCTATTTTTTCATGTGGTGTAGGGAAAAACATGGAAGTTGCGTGTTATTTAGAGGGTGGGAATTTAAAATCTTAAAGGTATTAGAAGTAGTGTCGGGGAGGGTTGTGGTAGTTCATTTTTTATAGAGGGGCACTGTCTGTAGGATTATAAATGTATATGCACCGGTAGATAGAAAAGATAGGTTGAATGTTTTTGAATGTTTGGGTATGGTATGAGGTGAAAGAAGAATATATTGTTAAATATAAGTACTGGAAGGAGTGTAAATGTGAATTTTAAGACGTTATTGAGTGGTGGGAATGGGTGAAAGTAAAAACAAAGTTATTTTTTACTAGAAAAGGATGGGAAAAAGATAGGAAGGAGAGAGAACGGTTGGATAATTGGAGATTGAGAATTGAGTATTTGTGTAAATTGAGAGAGTTGGGATGGGAGGTGGAAGATTATTTAGAAAGTGCGAGAGAAAGTAGGAATAAATGTTTGTTAGAAAGAGGTAAAAACAATTGTATTTGCGGCTAGTTAAATGTATTGGAAAAAGATGAGAAGTGTTCTAGATTCTTTTTTAAGAAAGTGTATGAAGGAAAGAAAGGTATGGAAGGTGTAGTGATTGAGGATATGAATAAAATGAAGGTGTAGTGATTGAGGATATGAATAAAATGTTGAATGTAGTGAAGGAATTTTATGCCAAACTGTATGAAGAGAAAGAGAGAAATAGGAATTTCGAAAATGAGGTGTTGAGTGGTGTTGAAAACAGAATAAAAGAAGATATGAGTTGGTTAGTGAGAGATGTGAATAAAGGTGAGTTGTTTGAAACCATGATGGATTTTAAGTTGAATAAAACATCTGGATGCAATGGGTTGCCTGTAGAATTTTATCGAACATATTGGGATGTGATTGCGGATGAATTTTTACAAGTATGTGAGTTTGTTTTAAATAAAGGTATTATAACAGTCTATGAGGAAGGGAGTGATTGTGTTGTTGTTTAAGAAAGGTAATAAGCATGATTTGAGTAATTGGAGACCGATAACTTTGTTGAATGTAGATTATAAGATTGTTACGAAAGTGATTGCAAATAGATTGAAACATGTGATTTAAGGGATGGTGGGAGAGGAACAAATTTGTGCAGTGCCTGGAAAACAGATAGCGGAGCATTTGATTGGGTTAAGAGATGTGTTATGGTTTTGGAAGGAGAGGAAGCAAGAAGTAGCGATTGCGACGATTGATTTTGAAAAGGCGTATGATAGGGTGGCACATGATTTTATGTTTGCAATTTTAGGAAGAATGGGAATACCTGAAATGATGTTAAATTGGATTAAATGTTTGTATAAAGGGATAGTGAGTGTGGTTCAAGTAAATGGATGGATGACTGAATGTTTTAAAGTGTGTTCTGGGGTTAGACAGGGGTGTCCTCTGTCCCCGATACTTTTTATATGTGTGATAGAACCGTTGTTGCGAATGATAAAGTGGTGAGAGGAGTTGTAATTCTGGGAAGTAGTGCAAAAAGTATGAAAATAATTGGCTACATGGATGATGTGACGGTAATATGTAGGACCCAGGCAGTATTGAGGAGAGTGAAATTGTTAGTAGAAATTTTTTGTATGGCAAGTGGTTTTAGAGTGAATTGGAATAAATGTGCATGTATGGCTTTTGTGGATTGGAGAGTGTTGGAATTAAGTGGGTGACCGGTAGTAGAGAATGGAATTCAATTTTAAAGTAGGTTTGAAAGGGAAAGAAAGTTGGGAAAAAAAGTGGTGAATCGAGTCAATCAAAAGATAGGATTATGGAGTGAAAGAGTATTGTCAATTGAAGGTAAAGTTTTAATCATTAAATCAATTTTAATTCCTATTATGTTATATTTAAGTTTCATTTTCCCCCCTAATAACAAGAATATGAGAAAGTTGATTAGAATTATATTTTTATTCTTCTGGAGTAGTAGAATGGAGCGTTTGAACAGAGAAAAGGTGATGAGGAAACGCATAAATGGTGGTATGAATGTCCCAGAATTTGATAAATTTTTATTGATTCATTATGTGAGAATGTGTATTCGAATATGTCAGAAAGAAAGCATGGTAGCATGTATGTTGAAGTATGCGGCTGGGTTGAGTTTGATAAAGTTTGATCTGTATGTGATTGATAGAACAAAACCAGTATGTTTTAATGTCCCATGGTTCTACAGGAAGATTGAAGTGTGTATTAAAAAGTATGAATTACAGAATGTTACAATTGAGGAATGGTGTGAGAAGAGAAAGGTTTTTAAAATGTTGAAAGCCAAAGAGAATGTTGTGAGCATTGATGGTTTGAATGAATTGCAGAGTAATGAAGTATGGTAGAAGTTGGATACGATTGAAATTCTGAATAGACAGTGAGATATTGCATGGATGGCAGTGCACAATTGTTTGGCTACGAGAGAATTGCAATATGGGAGGAGAATAGGTAGCTCTGAGATGTGTCCAAGGGATGGATGTGGAGGAAGAGAGAATGTGGTACATGTGTTCTGGAATTGTGAATTTGTGAGAGAGCTGATGAAAAAATTATTAAAATTGGTTGTGGGGTTGACTGGTATACCTGTGTTTTCATTTGAGGTTCTGTTGTTTGGAATGTGTAAAGGAGATAGAGTGAAAGAGAGAGTATTGTGGATCTTGATGGCATGTATAAAAGAAACTTTATCGGATGTGAGAAACAATTATTTTCAAAAAAGAATGTTTGTCCATAGATGCATGTGAGAATGGTTAGAGGAAAAGTGTTTTTGTACTATTTGAATGATGTATGAAAAAATGGTGAATTGGATGCAGAGGGAGTATGGAATAAGGAGAAGTGGAAAAAAATGGTGTGCGTAGAACGACCTCGGTGGAGGTAATTTTTTATTTTTTTTTTAAATTGGATTCTATGTGGAAAAAATGGGGCTGGGATGTATTGTTTGGAATATTGTATTTAACTCACTTTGTTTTATGTTTTTGTTAAGGCGAGGAAGAAAAAAACTTAATGGTGGGTTGAGGGTTGAAAAGACGATTTGGTGGGTATTGGTAATGTTCGGGAGTTTTGTTGTCAATAATATGTAGTATACATTGGGAAAAAGGGAAAGAGGAAAAAAGGAGAAAGGAAAAAAAAAGAAAAATAGGGTGGTTTGCTGTGTTTTTTGAGATGGTGACGGGTATTGCTGTTTTATTACTGTGATGTGAATATTATTACATTTTAATTGAAAATCATCATGAGGATGTTACTGGAGAGATTCCTTGAATTTCATCTGCAGAAAATTCTCTGTGACTGAGTGGGTCACAAAAAAAATAATCTGTTCTTATCAGTTTAATATCTGAAACATCCCCTATCTGGGGACCATATATTAAATGGATTTTTGGAACAAGGAGATGGAAGAAGAGCTTGCTCTGTCCACTCCACGCATTGACCTGGTATTGCAGTACCTCCAGGACCGGTGCACCTCTCTTATGCTGGTTAAAAAATAGATTTGAAAAAGAAAAGCAAGTCACTGGACTCTCACTTGGTGGACTCTCACTTCTCTATCTATCCTACTTGCAGCTTAAGAGGAACAGACAGCCTCATTAGGCACATCATCATCATCCTCAGTGGTGGTAGCTGGAGAGAGAGAGAGGGGTGCAAGGTATGTCTGGAGGGGAGCATATAGAGGAATGGACAAGGTTAAGAAGGGGCGCTGTGTTTCAAGGGCGTCGAGGTTGTGTGCTCTGTGACTGTGTCTCTGTTGCTATTTGTAGCCAGCTTACACCTAGATGAGGAAGAGGTGGTACTGTGCCCAAGGCTCACCGCAAGCTGAAGAAGCCCAGGGGAGTGGCAGGTGAGTAGCCGGGCACCCATTTCGGTTATCGCATCTCTGCCTTTTGGCTAAGATCAAGTTTAATCTTGTCTTGCCAGAAGGTTCCGGTGCTTGGTGACGCTGTGTCTGCCTTGGAGGACACAGTCCGGCTGCTGCTATTGGGGGACGACCTGAGCCTAGTACTGGAAACGAGAAGGGATCCCAGGATGGAGCGTGGTGCGCGAGCCTATCCGAAGAGCATTTGAGTTGTGGTGTCTGAGGAGAAGAGGAGAGCTGTGTCATTATTTACCATGCAGAAAGAAGTATTAGAGAAGTTGCTGAAAGCGCCCTGTGATTGGCTGTTTTGTGTCCAGGATTTTCCTGCCAGCGGGTTTTATGACATCACTTTCATGGAACAGGACCAGGTAAATACAGTGATGGGAAGAAAGCAGCAGAAAGAGTCTGAGCCTATTCTGCAAGGTATGACTTATTCCTTATGTACCTGTGTCCAAAATTCCGTTGGTGGTGCATATGTATAACCCCTTTGTCTCCGATGAAGAGATTATGGTCTTTTTAAGCAGGTATTGTTCCACTGTTTCCAAGCCATTGAAATTGATACATATGTATGGTGTATATAATGTTAAAATAAACATCCGCCCCAGAATTTCTCTATAGGCGGCAATAGAGGATATTTATTTTATCCAGGGCAGCCAATGTTTTGCCGCAACTGTTTTCACTTTGGGCATTTGACAGGCACTTACGATAAGGGGATGTGTTGTCGAAACTGCTTCAGCGAGGGTCACACTGCAGCCGAATGTGATGAGCGGAGGAGGTGTGACCTTTGTGGGTCAGAAAGACACATGGCCAAAACGTGTCCAAACTTGCAGCGAGAGGAAACTGGAGGTGAAGCTACAGCGGGGTTGGATGGAGCTGATGTGGCAGAAAGGCCTGGAATAAAGAAACCTATGATAAAGGTAAGAGTCCCTTTTATACCAATGTTTGGTACGAAAATAACAACCCAGGAAGAGATTGAGAGAGAGCATGCCAGAATAATGGAAGAAGACCAAGCTAAAAAAGCAGCGATGCAGGTGGAGGAAGAAGGATTAGCTGCTGAAGAAGGAATTGTAATGGAAGTGGAAGCAGGCCCATTGGCTTTGGTAGTTTCTGAAGAGGAAGACATAAAAGCTGGCCCTTTAAAAAAAAAAGGAAGAAAATTAGGAAGCTTTCCAAAGAGATTCCAAAAGTATTGAAAGAGCTCAAGGGGGTTTCAGAGGCAGAGACGGCTGGTGGTGCAGCTTCTGGAAATATGGCTATAACTCATGGATTGCAGTCCTCGGACAGAAGTGGGGAGTCTGATGAAGGCATATGAAATGATGAGGAAATAGTTTCCTCTGATCAATGATTTCAATAGGCTCACTTAATGTGAGAAGAATTATAAGCGTAACAAGGAGGGCTATGGTTTTTTGATTATTTAAAGACCATAACATGTACTTTTTGCAGGAGATTGGTTTAATGTTTAAACCGCAGGAGGCCAAGTGGAATCTCGGACCTGCTTTCTTTTCATTTGGTGGTGGGAAGAATGAAGGGGTTGCAATAGTATTTAGAGGGTGGGATTTTTCGATAATTGATGTTTTGGAAGTGGTATCAGGGATGTTATTAATTCTAAGATTTTTGTATAGGGGCACAAGCTATAGGGTTATAAATATGTATGCACCTGTAAATAGGAGGGAAAGAATGGATGTTTGAGAGTTTGGAAATGTATTTACTGGGAAGGGATTTTAGTTTTTTGGTGGGAGATTTCAAATGTATAATAAGGAGGGAGGATAGGGTGGGTCAAGGGGTAGAGTATAAATTAGATGGAACGGGGAGAAAATTAAATAAAATTATTCAAGAATTTGGGTATATGGATATGGTGACGGTAACAAAAGATAAGGAGGTGTATTCATTTTATAGTGATAAAGGAAATGTGAAATCAAGGATCAATTTTTGTTTTGTTTTACAGGGTGTTATAGCAGATAATCTTACAATGCACAAGGTATGTTTTTCAGATCATGTGATGTTAGAATGTACGGTAATAATGGATAAAAAATTGGAATTTGGAAAAGGGTTATGGAACATGAATGTAAGTATATTGATAGACGAAGTAGTGAAAACATTATTTTTTTTAATGTATAAAAGATGGAGAGAATGTAAAAATAAATTTAATAGTGTAATTGATTGGTGGGAATGGATAAAGATTAAAACAAAATAATATTTAATTTAAAAAAGTTGGGCTAGAGCAAAAAGAATGTTTTGATGGTTGGAGAAAGAGAATAGACTATATGTAAATTGTGTGATTTTGGATGGGATGTTAAGGAGGAGTTGGAAACTGCGAGGGATGAAAAGAAGTGTTTAGAAGAAAGAGGTTGGAAGATTGTGTTTGCTGCAAGAATGGAAGTGCTGGAGAAAGATGAACAGTGTACAAGATATTTTTTTAGAAAGGTGTATGAATGTAGAAGAAGTATGGAAGGAATTGTAAGTGAAGATGGGGTTTTAATGAATGATTAAGCGCAAATGATGAAAGAAATTAAATCTTTTTATGAGAAATTGTATGCTGAGCGAGAAAGGGATAGGCGTTTAGAGAATTAATTATTGGAAAAAATTGAAAAAGGTATAAAAAGAGAAGACGTGGATTTATTAATAAGAGAGATTGGGAAAAAAGAAGTGAGTGATACAATTATGAATTTTAAATTAAATAAAACACCTGGTTGTAATGGATTACCAGTGGAATTTTCTAGGATGCGTTGGGAAGTGATTGGGGATGATTTTGTAGAAGTATAATTAAAATATATATATATATATATATATGTAGATAGCACTCCACGGACTTAATCTTCAAATAAAAATTAACTTTTAATGCTCCAAGATAAAAATCAACGTTTCAGTCTGGACAATCAGACTTTCATCAGGACAAGGTTAGCCAGTAATAAGAGTATACATATATACTGCACCAATAAACACTAATCAAACATTGTACTCACCCCACCTGGTTGGAGGCACATCCCCACAAGCCGTCCGGTCAATTGCCCCGCCGAAACTGCCGGTCGCGTATGGATGACGTCATTGCACATGCGTCAATCACGCATGCGTCGACTCCGTACCCGGCGATACAAATGGCATCACCATGGCAACAAGACGCTACCATGGCTTAGCGGGCATGGACTGAAACCGTCGGAGTCTGCCTCCAACATGTACATAGTGAAATTCTATGTACCGACTGTGAAAAACAGAACAACAAGAAATAGAGTAAACATAAATAAATATAAATTGAAAATTAAAAACAGATACCTATGCTGGGGAACAGCCATACTACCTAGTCTTATGAGTCCTAGGAGGTGCTGCTCACTCTGAAAACCCCACTATACCTTAAATAATGCAAATAGTGATGCTTGCTAGAGAATAAATTGCCTTACGGAGTTACCATAAATATATATATATATATACACACACAAATCCATTTAAGATAAGGTAATAAGAGAATCTAGAACCCAATATTATACTATCATGCTGGTCATACTGCTGAAAAGCTAAATATCCTTATTTACATATGTGTATAACCATATTATCTCAAACTAGATCCCAATGCTCTACTGAATATCTTGTGCACGTAGAGCCATCTGTTATCTATTGTTCCTTTACCTGAACCAGTTTTAGTGTATATAAAGACAATAAATTGTACCTGTAACGGACCGTTTTGCACAAAAGGGGAAAAACCCGCTTAGACGATAATCCCCCTTTCAGAGCCAGGCACAGCTACTGTAGAATCACCAAAACTCACGAACCGCCAATAAGTGAATGCTCCAAACTCCCGAACGGCATACAAGGGAATAAGGTAGCACTCCAAATAAACGAACCAGGAACCATACGAATAGCTGCTAGCAGACGAACAGGAAAAGCTCCCAAGCGGCTTACACTCCTGGCAATCAGTCCTTAGCAGCATACAGTAAATCCCCCCAAAGACGAGACAAGGCTCCGTGTTGAGGGTCAAGCAGTGGTCTGTTTAATGAGGGCTACCTGCCCAGCTTTTATGCAGGTCTCCCACCTGGTGGACACTCCCCTAGGGGACCAAATGGGAGACTGTGACAAGGGACAGACAAGTATACAAAAAGGACACACAGTCACAGTATATTCCCACAATGCATCCTGGCTTCCTCCCCTCTGCCCTGGGAGATAATTGGGAAGTAACTCAATTATCTCCCAAGACAAAGGCAAAACTCCATTACACACGTGGGAACACAAAACAGCATTATACTTTAAAATACATAGAGTAACATTTACTACATTAAACACAGGCATGTAACACATCCCCAGATAGCTCAGGTCTGAGTGCACATTATTAGGTGAATGGCACTCAGACTACACGAATACAGTTCAATCGCCATGGAGCCAAAGTCTTTACAGTCAGTTTCATACGAATGGGCTCCATGGGATTCCTATCTGGGGTATAAGACATTCACACAAAAATACCGAACACCGGGTCATTCGTGTGCTTTCACCGAACAAGAAGGGAGGTCGGCGGCTTCAGCGGTGTTCGCGCAAAACTGTGTCCGATTTTAGTTCCATAAAAATAGAGGCGAACACCGCTGTTCATTCGTATGGTTTAAAATGGCCGCGACCTCGTGTTCGGGATACGAAC